AAAAAAAAAAAAAAGAAACCATTGTACTTTCTTTTCATCTTTGCTGTTTTTTTTTCTTTTCTTTTCATCTTTGATTGTCAGTACAATTACTTTGGGGTTTTAGTATTTATTATTAAGGTCTTTCTTAGATGTCCAGTAAACCATGTAGTAATTATGCTTAGATAAGTTAACAAGCAACTTTGTTTTAACCCTTTTCTTCTCTCTAGGATGTTTTAGAAGAATGTATGTCTCTTCCCAAGCTATCTTCTTACTCTGGATGGGTGGTAGATCATGTCCTACCCCATACACAGGAGAACCCACCACTGTCTGAGACCTCACCATCCTTAACGTCTACTTCAACCCTAGAGCAACCCTCATGTGTGCCCAAATCTCCCGTCAGAAACTCTGCCTACTCACCAGCTTCCTCTACAACACCAAATGGAACCAAGGTAGGTTTTTTGTTTTTTTTTTTGAGACAGAGTCCTACTATGTTGTCCTCGGTAGAGTGCCGTGGCGTCACAGCTCACAGAAAGCCTCAGTGTGGGCAAATAGCTGGGACTACAGGCGCCCACCACAACTTCCAGCTATTTTTTGTTGCAGTTGTCATTGTTGTTTAGCTGGCCTGGGCTGGGTTCGAATGCACCAACTTCGGTGTATGTGACTGGCATCGTGACCACTGTGCTACAGTGCCAAACCCAAGTTAAGGTTTTAATCGGTTCAAGACAAAAGCCATGTTTGCCTTAACATTGAAGTGTTTAATATTGTCATATGATAGTGACTATACCCTGGAGAGAGTAATGATTGCTTCTCATTGCAGCTGTCTATAGGAACAGTGTTTGTTGTATCATTCTCTTTTTTTTCTTTTTTTTATTGTTGTTACAGTTGTCATTGTTGATTCTAGCTGGCCCAGGCCGAGTTCGAACCTGCCTTCCTTGGTGTATGTGGCCAGCACTCTACCCAATGAGCTCTGGGTGCTGCTCTGTTGTATCATTCTCTTGATGAAGAACCAGGAGAAATTTCCCACTATTCTTAGTACCAAGAATAATATGATTAATTTTATAAGCAATAGGACTATTGTTTTTCTTGTGAACATTGCTTCTACTTAACTCACAAGTTCTCCCATTTTGTGTTGGCTGCTTTAAAAAGGCTTAGAATAGGGCGGCGCCTGTGGCTCAGTGGGTAGGACGCTGGCCCCATATACTGAGGGTGGCGGGTTCAAATCCAGCCCTGGCCAAACTGCAACAACAACAACAACAAAATAGCCAGGCGTTGTGGAGGGTGCCTGTAGTCCCAGCTACTTGGGAAGCTGAGGCAAGAGAATTGCCTAAGCCCAGGAATTGGAGGTTGCTGTGAACTGTGACACCATGGCACTCTACGAAGGGTTAATAAGTGAGACTCTGTCTCAAAAAAAAAAAAAAGGCTTAGAATAAAATGTATACCTGCTCTTAAAGTTTATATATTTGGGGGGCAGTGCCTCTGGCTTAAAGGACTAGGGCACTGGCCTCATATGCCAGAGGTGGTGGGTTCAAACCCAGCCCCAGTCAAAAAAAAAAAAACTGCCAAAAAAA